AAAGCAAGCCAGGTATAGTCTCCATGTTATTAAGCTGATATTAGTTCTTGTTATAAAATCTTATGGAATATAGAAGAATTATAATGCCAGAATTATTTAATGATTTAAGAAAAATCTATCAAACTTTCTCAAAGAATAGATCAAGAATAGATAGAAATAATACCGCTGCCTTTGTTGACAGTGATTTTCCCTATACTAAGTTGTTTGAATATATATTAGGTACATTTTATATTTGTGCCATTACAAGATTGTGTATTACTTATCCTATTTTCTGTTTAAGGGTGTGGTGATTTTGAAGTGTACATGTTCTGGAATTAAAAATAAAACACAAATTTTTAACTTCTTTTTGACTTAAAATATTTTTTCTTTCCTTCGATTGGAAACTTTTCTTTTTTAGTTGCTCCAAAGAAACAGATGTTCTCATTTCTTTTGTTCCCTTGGTAGTGCCTATGATCAGAAGCCACAAGTGGGAATGAGGCCCTCCAATCCCCCCACACCATCCAGTACTCCAGTGTCTCCACTACATCATGCATCTCCAAACTCAACTCACACTCCGAAACCTGACCGGGCCTTCCCAGCGCACCTCCCCCCATCGCAGTCCATACCAGACAGCAGCTACCCCATGGACCACAGGTAATCTGCAGATACCAGTTTCATAAAAAATGTTTTTAGCATTCTTGGAAGAAATTCCTGTTACCAATTCTGAAGACTTATAGTAGATTTAAGGTGAACATATTAATTTTGCACATCTGTGCAAAATATTTTTAGAAAGAGCTTGCTCTATCTATACTTATAAATAATTTGTGGGGAAGGTCATTTATAAACATTCCTTTTATAAACATTTAAATTGGTTGCTAAAATGGAAAATTAATCTATCTACTGACATTTGAACATTTCCCTTTTGCTTTGCCTGAATTAAATTGCTTCACTTAAACTTTAAATCAGATCATCCCATTTTTATGAGCATATGTGTGTACTTGTTCTATAAAATTAGGAGACTAATTTTAGTAGGTGGCTTATGGAATTAGGTCCCTTACCTTTTATTGAATGGTTTAGCTGTACATAGTTTTGCAGAATAGAACTTATTTGATTAAAACTATTTACCATCCCTTTGAAGTGATGAATATTTAATGTCAGTAGACACATGACACTGAACACTGTGAATATACAGTTAAAGAGATAGAGACTGAATTAGTTTCACTTAGAAAGGAGCAAGGCAAGAACTAGAGCATAGAGCTGGGGAGAACTCAGTGGTGGGTAATTCGTGACTCCTAGAGATGAAGAAATTCAGATTTAAATAAAATATTGGAAGATCTTTAGAGGTCCTGAGATACTGCCTTAATATACAACTTAAAACTCAGGTCGATTATATACAGCATTCTTCCTTCTTCCCTCTACTTTGTACTTCTATATAACCAGTGGTGTGCTGGCAAATGTTTAACAGACTGTATGTGAGGAAAACAAAAAGGCCTTATCTGTAGCATTTGCTGAGTCTGTGATATAAATATTGCCCCGGTGGCTCACTAGGAGCTATCTCTGTGAACACCCCTGAATGTGAAGTTGGAAAGAGATATGGAATAGTGCACTATGGTATAGTATTTCTGTCATTCAGATACAGTAGACATAAATAACGTCAAGTGCATATTTAGTAGTGCAATACAGTAAAATACTTAGGGAATGATAAGTTTTGAGTTTTTATTGCTTTTGTTTTTAATTTATTTTTGATTTTTAATTTATATAATTTGATTCCTAATAATGGCTGTGTTTAACAATTGGCTCAAAAAATTCCTGCAAATTTAACAATAAGCCAGTGAAAACTGACTCTGACACACCATGTAAAAATAACTGAGCCAAAGGAATCTTCTAGATCAGCAGAGGAAAGCAGAAGTTGTGCCACTGGCAACTTTCTGAAAATAAGGAAGCACTCAAATCCGCTTTTTATAGGTTTTTTTCATGAGACTCAATCTCAAATTTAGTGACTTATTTTGCTATAAAGGGATGAGATGAAAGCATTCTTCACAATACTAAGCCATATCATTTCTACCTTTGTTTCCATCAAAGTCCTCTTGTGCTGTAGTTATTAAATGCTTCCTAGTATCTTTTTCTTCTCACCCTGTAGACTTGAGACTTTGTCAGAGTGCAGTGGTATGTGCATCTGTGTAAACAGTTTTGTAAATACAGATGAAAGAATTCTTATTGCAGGGTGGGCCATTAAACAGATGCACATTGTGCAGGGCTAAAAGAGAAAAAGAGTGTGAACAGAAAAACAAGTTTTAGTTTGTCCACTTCTGGTAACTCTCCAGAGCTCTTGGTAACTGAGTCTCTCACTCTTCAAATGAGTGCCAGAGTTATAGATTGTGTAGTTTCCTCTGTGTGCAGACGAGCTGTTTCTTAGGGAAGGTGACTGCTGAATAAGCAGTGTGACTGTTTTTAGGTGACCTAACTTGAAATGCTCTAGCCAAATCCATTTTAGTTTCTCTACTTGAAGTCAAATATTTGAGACTGAGAACAGCCGGCCCGGAACTCCAAGAGGGAAGCTCGGGGTCTTTTCCCACTGCCCCCCGACTGAGTTTTGAGGACAGTACCAGCTGGCCAGTCCCAGGAAAATCTCTGAAGCCGTATGTTTCTGAGGAGGATTTCTTAGAGGGCTGTGGCCAAAAAATGACAGTCCCTCAGTTATAAATGGCAAATTTGCTCTGGGAACAGATCTTTTCCCCAGAATGCCCCCTCCAGCCCAGGCACCCCACTTCACTCTGGGAATGGTTTATGGCCAACTGGCCCGCACCCTGCTTCCTCTGCTCAGCCTCACTCTGCTCCTTGGGCCAGCCCTCTGGCACTGTTTCCTCAATCCACTGTGCAGGAGCCCTGTCTCTTTTTCTCAGTGTTTCCACCACTTATACCCTGTTTCTCTTTATCTAAGAGTTCATCAGCATGGTCCTTTTATCCTTTAATTCTCTTCCAGAAGCTTCTTGAATCACTTTCTCTTCACTGTTGGTCAGTGGCTCATAAGAATGGCACCAAAAACATGCAGCTTCCTAGGAAGCATGTGTGCTTCACGTATCCTGTTCCCCAGCAAGCACCAACTGGAATCAGGTCGACTCGTAAAAACAAATGGCTTGATTCCTTACAAAGCTTTCAGTACAAGTATTATTAACTTCCTTTTAAGGCTTCACAAGTGAGCCGGTTTCTTATTTTAACTTCAAGTTACAATTTTCTGATTCACTCCTTGACAGTTCTTAATGATAATTTCTGTTTCTTTTTTTGGCTAATGAAATAAGCAAGAGAAGGGAAATGAATGCAGTGCCAGTCAGCCTAACTGTTTTGCAGTATCCGCGTCCCAAGTTTGTTTTCTGCAGGTGTAGGTGGCATTTCAGTGCTTTCCATGACCACCAGTGAGGCTAGAGTTAAATCACAGGATGGAGTGTTCTTAGAAATGCTAAAGGAATCGCTTTGCCATTCTTTAGCTTTTACCTTATTTTCATTTAACATTACTGAAATTAAATGCTAACTTCCCAAATTAAAGTCTTAGGCATGCTTTTAGTGGGGGTAGGGGGTGTAATAGGCTTACATCTGCTCATAGAAATGTTTTATAGGTTATTTTTAAGCTCTCCTGGGGCATTTTTAGAGCACTTTTAAATCTTTAATTAATCCACATCTTTGTGGTGGGTCAATGATATTATGGATGAGAAATACGGAATAGAACGATTATGTGATTAGCTAATCGTTACACAGCATAACCAAGAACAACCGAGCATAGAACTTCCTTTCAGCCATCTGCTAAGGCCTCCGAACTTCCTCTTGACCTAACAGCTTAACTTGCCCCAAATCTACACACTGCATACATGTTATTTTCATCTTTGGATGTCAGTCGTATATTTATGCTTATTTTTATCAACCTGTTATTTTGTTTGAAGCTATTGGAAGCCAGTATGGTTTGTGTTACTGTTTGACAGTAAAGAAGTGGTTTTTTGTTTTTTTTAAACTGGCTTGTATTTAATACCCTATAATATCCAGTTTTATTTCTCATTAGAACACAATGTTAATTAGGACATTGCTGAGGAATTAAAAGTCCGGCCAATTTGAGAAGTCATTTCTCTCTTGCTTCCTCAGTAACTTATGGTAACGGAAGGAAAACCAATACGTACATTTTGGTTGGGTAGGTTTTTTGTTTGTTTATTAATTAGTTTGATAACACAATAAAAAGAAGATGCACTTTGAGATCAGACTGTTTTAGCTTTCATTCTTCTGTATAATTGAGACCCTTTTCATATGAAGGTGTATAAATTATCCAATTGATTTAGAACTGTGCATTTTAGCCATTAGAGTATACATACATTTCCTCAAAATAGTGCATTGCTCTTCTCTCTCTACTTAAAGTACACTTTAATTTACGTACTGAATGGTGCCACAAGGGACTCGTTAGAAGAGGAACACAAGTTACGATATGATTAAAAAGCATAGTGCTACTGACCCAGGAAAGAGAAATCTAGTGTTCTTTAAAGATTTATAGTTTGGTTCAGTTGGTATCATGTTCATTTACCAAACAGTGAAAAATCGAACCAATATTTTAAATAATATTCCATGTTACCATTTCACCTGAAACACGCTCTCTTATTCCCTAGATTTCGCCGCCAGCTTTCTGAACCTTGTAATTCCTTTCCTCCTTTGCCGACAATGCCAAGGGAAGGACGTCCTATGTACCAACGCCAGATGTCTGAGCCAAACATCCCCTTCCCACCACAAGGCTTTAAGCAGGAGTACCACGACCCAGTGTATGAACACAACACCATGGTTGGTGGTGCAGGCAGTCAAAGCTTCCCCCCTCCTCTGATGATTAAACAGGAACCCAGAGATTTTGCATATGATTCAGGTAGGCCCATGTTTTGATGGAATTACATTCAAGGTATCTTTTCACCTCCTTTGTCACTTTGATTAGTGTTGGTGTCAGATTGGGTGGCTCTTGCCATTTTTTTGGTGGGATCTTTCCTATTTTATCCCTTATGTGAAAATATCTACATGAGAAAGGTTGGAATATCAAACTGTTTTGGCACGAGCTGATGGTTTATATAGTGTCCAGAAATGAAACCAGTTCAAAGAAAAGTGCACTTTAGAAAATTATGCTTGCTCTTAGCCCAAGAGAGGAGCATTGCAATTTTTTTCTTGATTCTGTGGGTTTTTTTTTTCTATTTTATCATTGCAGTGCTATTTAATAATAATATTTACAGAAAGTAATATTCTTCTGAACTGGATCACTTATTGCTTATAACTCTTTTAAGAAAAATTTATTGGTGGCAAAGATTCTGAGCATCCATAAATAAGAACTTTCACATATTAGAAGAATAGCGAAATATAGATTTACAGTTTATTCATAGAGCCTAGCTTTGTCTCAGTGAACTAGAGAGTAGTACAAAGTGGTATGTCAAAGGGGAGAAAGGGGTTTTCTGAAAGGAAGGGGGGCTTAAAATCTTTGCCAAATGTGACCCTCAACTTTGCCTTGAGGCTTGAGAAGAATTACTTAACTAATTTGTACTCAGTTTTTCCTACTATAGTCTGTGAAATCAGGACATCTGCTTTTCACTGACCTCAGATATTTTGGAAAGATGTATGAAATAAAAACTAATGTTTATAAGAAGGGCACGAGGTGCCTGCAAAATATTATTACTAACATTTTTGTAGCTGTGGTCCATAGTAGTTGTAGACGTGGAAATATTTGAAAACAGTGGCATTTCCTTTTGTCTGGATACAAAGTTATGGTCATCATTTATGAAGGAATAGTTGCTTTCCTACTAATAACTCTGCTGAGTTTTTATATCCATCTACTTGAATAAAGAAAACTGTTTCCAGGACTTGAGTTTCCAACTTGTATAAAACTGCCTGCTTTATTATGAACTACCCTTAAAGGTTGGCAAGATGGAGCCCTACAATTTAGAAGTCTTCCTCTGGCCATCCTTTGACTGCACCCTTCCTCATTGGGCAAGAAGTCAAAGGACTAGGGGAATTGACCACCCTGAGGCATGTTTCAACTTCTAGAAAGTATGCCAGCTCCCTAAGACTCGTGAATTCTCTGCTCAACTAGCCTTGAGTCCACTTCCATGGCCTGACCAGAATGTCCCAAGCCCTGTTTTCTGAAGACAGAGCACACAGTTTCTGTGTATAGCCCTGGATCCACGGGGGTGGCTAAGGAGCACCACTTTGTGAGGGGATGAGGATGGAGCTTGGATGTGTCCACAAGCTTGTGTGTGAGGCCCCCACAGTGTGGCACAATCTTGGGTTCAAGGATAGAAAGAGAGGCAGGGGTAGAGGTGAGCTAGGATCTAAAGATTGGGCACTGCCTCTCTCCATACCGTCCTATTCCAGTGCTAATCTTAGAGATTTCCTCAACTGCTAAATTTGACCTGACCTGCCAGGTTGTTTGTTACCATGGTATATTTTCAAAGATGTGAAGGAGAGAGCACATTTATCAGTTTGTTTGCCTGATTTATCATTTAAATATTTAAAAACATGGTATGAGAGCCTTTATGTGAATGATTGCCCCAGGGCCTGTAATTTGGGAACAATCTTGAAATGTCACATATTGGTTTCAGTGTAGAACTTTTTATAGCCATCCATTGATGTCCGTAATTAAGAACCCTGCAATACAATGGACTTTATTATAAATAGGATACTTTTCTCTCTATAAATTAAAATCCTGTTAATTGATATTATCTTTATTTTCCAAACCACTTTTTAATTTGTTGCAGTTTTTTGAATTCATCATATTTCAAGATATGTTATATGGAAATCTTATAAAGTAGCCTGAATAATCATTCCAATGCTTGTATAGCCTAGCATTTGAAAGTTTCTTTGTGTGTTCTAGAAGTGTTTTAAATGTATGATAGTAAAAAGAATAACACTGAAACTCTTTTCTTGATTCTATGATTTGTTCCATGCATATCTTCTCCTCATATTTATATTATATATGTGGTTATAGGTAGCATGGTATTAAGGATGCATAACTTTTTTTGAAGATATGTGAACCCAATGGAAAAGATATTTAAAGATTCTAATGAGGATTCTATGTGATTATATAGGATCTGGTACTATAAGAGTTAATTGCATTATTTGTGGGCCACATATAATATGGACTTCAGAGTCAGTCACTGTCTGACCCTCAAAAGCACAAATTCACTCATGACCTTCAAACGTATAGTCCAACATCCTTTTTTGAAGGTATGGAGAGCATCCCTATTGTAAGTGTGCCATACATTTTGTAATGACTTGTAAAATACTTGTTTAGTATCTTTAAAGCTGTTAATTTTATGTTACTTTCTCCTCTCTAAATTATATTTCAAATTGCCAAAATTGTACCCCACCTTTGAATTCTAATTTTGATATTGCCAATAGTATACAGTTCTGTTTTGCATGAACAGTGAAAGTAAGTAGTAAAGTTGTATCTTTTGGATATGGTGTAAAAGAAATGTAGTAACAGTGTAACCAGGGCCTATGAAAAATTAATCTTTGAGTATCAAAATGTATTTTATTTTACTGGCCACCAAATTTTTGCAATTAAGTTGACACATCTATGTTTGTCATACATTGAGATCAACAAGTATGATCTCTAGATATTTTGTTTTATTGTCATTAGTTCTTTCAGACTGGCTGGGAGTATTTTAACTAATCTTTTATGAAATCAAATGTATTTATCACTGAATCACCGATTTCTTTATTCACCTATTGATCTTGAACAAACAGCACATCAAGAAATATTTTATAGTTGATTGACAAACAATGCAAAAAATATTTGCTAGGTGAGTTAACTCAGCATCTATGATCCAAAGGTTATCCTTTCAGAAGGCCCCTAGAACTCTTTATTGCTTATTTCAATATACCATAAATGTTGTGAAAGAAGCCTTGTAAGGGAAAAGGCAGCATGATTGTGCTCTAATACAGCCTGACATTAATTATGACAAGGGAAATGGAAGGTCTATTAGTTATAATTATAATTATAGGAATGCAATTTCAATTGCCGAATATTTAAGCTAAAAATTGCAAAATATTATGTTAGTAGAGTAGAAATTTTTGTTCAGGAGAAGAGAATAAAACTTGGATCAGAAATTAGTGAGGAGATGAGAAATAGATATTTAGGGCCAATTTGGTGAACCAGTACAGTGGGATCACAGTTATATCTTGATACTAAATTCTAAAAGATCCAATCCAATACATCTATTATCCTTCTCTCCTTCTCTTCTTTTCTAGCCTAAGCAGTACAGTTTTGATTTTTTTGTTGGTGGTTGGTTTTCTTTTCTTTTTTTTT